ACTTAGGTATAAATATATATTAATATATAATATATTTATTATATAAATAATGTATATAATTTCTTTATTTCGAGCTAAAAACAAGAGAGAGCAAAGGGTTGTTCGGTTTTTTTGTGTTTGGCTCGTTTATAATTTGAGCTTAAAAAATTTGTTCATGTTCGGCTCTTTTAAAGAATGACCCAAACACAAGCTACTTAACGAGACAAACATGAGTTGTTCTCGAACAATGGATGATACTCATGTTCAAAAAAAGTAATCATAACTGGAGAGGATTCTATTTTCTAAATGCCCCCTCAAATTGTGTGCAATTGTTTTGGGCTATAACTTTAGATAAAATTATGAATACATCAAGAATATTTGTAAAATTTAAACATTCAAGTGAAATCTATCACGCCGAAGCTTGAAGCGATAATCTTACATCCCTCGTAATAGTCTCTAGAGGGCGTTAATTTTAAGTCTAATTTAAACTCATAAAACATTAATGCCATATCATGTGCAGCATTGTGATTTATTTGAAATTCTTGTTCATTAAAACTCTCTGATGCATGTGCAGCAACTGGGAGCTGACTTCACCCTGGACTGGAGTTCAAATAAAAGTACCAGTAAAGTTCGTGGTTGGGGATTTGGATTTGGTCTACCACGTGCATCGCGTTCAGGAGTACGTACACAAGGGTGGATTCAAGCGAGATGTTCCGTTCCTTCAGGATGTTGTGGTGATGGAAGGAGTCGGTCACTTTATCAATCAGGAAAGACCGAATGAAATATCTCAGCACATATTTGAGTTCATAAGTAAGTTTTGATGCTTCTCACTCTTTGGCCTGCCTAAATTTCCATGTTTTCAACTCTTTGTTTTAATGCACAATTAGCGTAATACTTATGCTGCTAAATAATGCATGCTTCAATGAGATATAAAGCATTTGTTTTCTGATTTGGGGTTATGAATTTAAATAATTGTATCAAGGCCATAATGAAGGCAGCATGTAAATTTATTCCTTTTTGGGTCAACTGCACGAGTGTAGTAGACATTGAATGAGGGATTTACTCTCCCTGCTTGGCATAGTTCCACTGTAATTTTTTTCTGCTCGGTGGTAATTTTCTTGTTGCTTTTAATAATTTTTGAAAGGACATTTACATGCATACCACCCGATTCCATGTATTTGCATATCTAAAACGTAAACTAAACTTTTTTTTTTTTAAATATATACCGACACAATTTTCGTATCATATCAAAAATATTATTATTTTAATTTTTTTAAAAAAATCAAATGCATCACATTTTCATGCATAGGGTTGATGTTATATATAGGTGTTTGAGTCAAGCCGATTTGTGAATCAACTTGAACTTAGCTCGATAAGTGGCTCCTGAATTGGGTTTGATGAGTTAACAAATCAATTTTAAATTTAAGGCTTTATCTTTATAGCATTAAAAAAAATAAAATAATATTTTATATTTTTTTGTTCAATAATTTTTATTGTTCCTCATAATTAATCATCCCTTGAAGCATGTTGAACTTATTACTTGAAAATCGAGTTCAAACTCAATTAAATCAATCAAGTTTAGGCCGAGAATGGTGTCAACTTGATTCCTTTAAACCACAAGCTATAAAAATTGAGGATGAACAATTTCTGTCCAACCTTTTAAATGAAACAAATTCATGCTCCTTCCACGTATTTAAAAAAGATTTAATACGTATTTCCATAGAATGATATTTTGAATGAATTTTGAAAAATCTTAAAGCACTGATTCGAACAGGCTGCATTACTTGTGATTATCGGCCAACCACTTAACATTTAAACGCCTAGTGGTTTTAAAATTAAATAATCCGAATTCCTCTTATTAAAATGTTTGATTTTTATCATAAACATATGTAATTAAACATTATATGTTTAATTAATTAATATTTAAAATTTTTAATTATATTTGAAAGTTTTTTTTTTTATTTAGATTTATTTTAACACAAATCTATTCATTCTTGATGTCTTCAGCTTTATTTCATGGAGGAATTCAATTTTATTTCAGGTTATTAAAATCCAAATAAGAACTTAATAATAACTCAAATTAACAACGTTAAGCTACATACAATAATGCCAGATAAACTAAACCATAATAAAATAGATGCTGGTGAAAGAAAAGCCAGATGAAAATTTTGAACCTCCAGAAGAGTCCGATTGCGACTGGTAAAAAACCAGACAAAATTATGGAGCTGCTCAAACCCTAAAACCCCTGCTGTTTCTCCTACCCCTAGCCTTCTCAAATTTCCTTCCTTTAGAGCGAACATAGGGCTTTGTGTGACTGTGGGGAACTCCAGGTGCAGGTCCAAAGTGCTTCACAGCTTCTCTTGCATTCTTAGGACCCCTCAGCAGAACCTGTTAAACCAGCAGAATATAAATAAAATCATTATCACTCCTTGGTGGTTCTTTCTTAACCAACAGAAAATGCTGTTATGTGATGCACAATGCAAACCTGGCTCTGCCTATCCATTTCACCCCATCGGAGTCAAAAAAATTGACCCAATATATCAACTCGACCCGTTTAACTGGACACAAAAAAAGTTTAATTTCCAGTTAAGAATCTCAACTCATTTATTGTTTTTTGTTGGATTTGAGTTAACCCGCGAACCCATAATCGACCAGAGATTTAACCTAAATGATCATTATGTGTTATGTTAAACAGGTCATACGGGTTATGTTCTCGTTAACAAGTTGAAATTAGGTTGAGTTCAGGTTAAACTTTTTGATCCATTTAGAATTCGAATCGAATTTGAGTTAAAAAATGAGTTAAAAATGAGTCTTAAGTTGGGTTAGATATGATCCAGCCCCGTAAAGCGGATTTGACATCCCTATTTCACCCTAGCATTTGGTTTGCTTACTAGTAATTCCTTCAAACCAAACAACGCGTGATGAGAAGAAGGCAAGCTAGAAAGAGCAAAAATGTCATGGAAGCACAAAGCTTCACCACAACAAGAAGAAAGGCAAGAAGGAACCTAAAGTGGAAACTTAGCTCAGATACACAGAATGCTCCTTAGACTTCCAACAAATGGAGTCCTCACAATGAGCTGGGATTGTGCAGTATAATCATCGCCACAACATAACAAGAGTTACCAGCAATTCAAAACCAACGGAA